CGGTTCACAATCTGCTCTCAGTTCGTGCACTTGGAGCTGCCGGCATTGCCGTTTCCTTCCCCATTGCTGGGCGGGTTGAGCTCAAGACTGATGAGGCTCTTATTGGCGAGGGCTTTACCCGCAACAATCTGTTTTATCTTCAGCTGCATCATGGGAGTAGTGCCGCCCCCCCCATCAACCCATCGGCATGTCCAGTCTCCACCACCTCCTCCTCATACCTTTGGCATCGCCGTTTCGGGCATCTTAACATGCGGGACTTGTCAACACTTCATCGGCAGCAGCTGGTCACCGGTCTTAACCTCTCCTCCTCCTCAATTCCTCAATGCATATCGTGCTATCGTGGGAAACAAACGCGTCAACCATTTGGCGTGTCCCATTCTCGCACCACAGCACCGCTCCAACTCATTCATTCGGATATTGCTGGACCGTTTTCATATGGAACTACCATTGGAGGCGCTCGCTACCTTCTCACCTTCATCGACGACTATTCCCGCCACATTACCGTGTATCTCCTACGCCATCGTTCAGAGGCATTGTCGTGCTTCAAAGATTACGTCACTCGGGTGCACAATATGCATTCCCCAAGGACCATCAAAGCGTTTCGCTCCGATGGTGCCTTGGAGTTCAATTCCGAGGCCTTCACTTCATTCCTTAAAGCTCATGGCATCGCTCAACACCGCTCTACGCCGTACACACCCGAACAAAATGGAGTTGCTGAACGCGCCAATCGGACTATACTTGAGATGGTCCGTTCCATGCTTCATGACGCACACATGGACAAAGGATGGTGGGGTGAAGCCGCTCTCACTGCTGCCTATCTCCGAAATCATGCTATTAGTCGGGGTGGTTCAGCTTCCAAGACTCCCATAGAACTATGGACCGGTGCACGTCCGGACGTATCACACCTCCGCATCTTCGGTTCACCCGTTTCAGTCCTCGTTCCTCCGCAACACCGCTCCAAACTCGACGACCGAAGCACGGCCGGCGTCATGGTTGGGTATGGTCATCTTGACGGCACCAAAGCTTATCGCATCTATATCCCAACTCAGCACCGTGTCACACTTTCTCGTGATGTCATCTTCATGGAGCCCTCTTCGCCACCTTCGGATGACCCTCGAGAACCTCCATCGTCATCTCCACCACCCATATCATCCTCTCCGCCTCCTCCTCCACCCCCTTCCCTCTCAGACCCAACCTCCCCTCCCTCTCGTTCACCTCCCATGACCTCTTCCACCACCCTCCTCCCACCATCTCCAAATCTGCTAGCACCAGCAACCTCTTCTCCTCCTTTGTTTTCAAACCTTCCCCTGCCCTCGACGCCGCAAGACTTCCGCCTTCCATCCCTCTCCTCTCCTTCTTCAGCTCGTCCTCCCCCTTGCACCTCTAGTTCCTCACCACCATCCCCTTCAGCTCCTTCCAATCCTTCACTTTTCTCACTGCTCAAGGTCCTACCCTCTCCTTCTGAACCCATTGACTTCACCCTTCCTCCTCTTTCCAAGACCTCCGCTAATGCCGCCCTTCATCATCATTACGAACCTCAAAACATTCATGAGGCCCGCACCGGCCCTGATGCTGCTGAATGGATCAAGGCTGCTGATGCGGAACTCGCTGCCCTGCACGCTAATGACACTTACAGGGTTGTTCCTCGACCACCCAAGTGCAAGCCGATTCCATGCAAATGGATTTTTAAGGTCAAGGAGCATGCTGATGGTTCTATTGAACGCCGCAAGGCCCGCCTTGTTGTCAAAGGTTTCAAACAACGCGACGGTGTTGATTTCCATGACACCTTTGCTCCTACTGTTCGCTTCGCCACCCTCCGCCTCTTCCTCACCATTGCTGCCGCTTTCGATCTGGAAGTCCATCAGCTGGACATTTCCAACACCTTCCTCAACGGCACTCTTGATGAAATTCTCTACACGATGCAGCGTCCCGGTTATGAGCTTCCGGCGGTCCATGGTGTTGAGCAAGTTTGTCTCTTGCACAAACCGTTGTACGGGTTGAAGCAAGCGCCGCGGTGCTGGTACCGCAAACTTCGTGAAGAGCTTGCTGCATTTCACCTTTTTGCTGCCCGTGCGGACCCCGGCCTCTTCATTGCTACTCCACAATCTCCTTATCGGCCTACAGCTGCATCTTTCTTCATGCTTCTCGTCTATGTTGACGACCTCATCATTCTTTCCTCCTCCTCTTCTCTTCTCTCCTCATTCAAGCGTGCCCTTTCATCTCGCTTCAAGCTTCGTGACCTCGGTCCTCTTTCGTACTACCTTGGCTTTCACATCACTCGTGATCGGACCTCCCGCACTCTCCACCTTCATCAATCCAAATTCATCACCTCCATCTTAGACACCTACTCATTCACACCACTTAACCCTGCTGCCACCCCCATGGACACCAAGTTTCAGCCGCCCGTGACTTCCTCACCACACTCCTCCTTTCCTTACACCTCGTTTGTCGGATCCATCATGTATGCCATGGTGGGTTCCCGTCCCGACCTCGCATATAGCGCTGGAGTTCTTGCTCGTCACCTTCATGATTGGTCTACTCCTCACGTCTCGGCTGCCAAACGCGTTGCTTGCTACTTGAAAGGGACTACCTCACTTGGGCTTCTTCTTGGCGGCATTCCCAACACCCTTGAACTTCATGGGTGGTGTGACGCCTCTTGGGGACCGGAGGGCGAGCTCCGACGCTCCGTTACGTGCTACTTGTTCTTCCTCGGTCCGTCACTCATCTCTTGGCAGTCCAAACGTCAAGCTGTCGTCGCTACCTCTTCATGTGAAGCTGAATACTATTCTCTAGGCGCCGCGGTGCATGAGGCCTTATGGCTTCGATCCCTCATTACTACACTTGGACTTCCCCCACCCGGCCCCACCCGCATCTCGTGTGACAACAGCAGCGCCATCATTCTGGCCAAGGACGACGGCGTCTTTCATCCCAAGGCCAAACACATCGACATCAAGCACCATTTCATTCGTGATCATGTCGCCGACCACTCCGTCACCCTTCACTATGTTCCTACTCAAGACAACCTCGCTGACATTGGCACCAAACCTTTGCCCCGTGACCCTTTTCTTCGCATCCGTGGTCTTCTCGGTCTCACCCTTGTCTCCGCTTGAAGAACCCTACCCCGGGGACATCCTTGAGGGGGGGTGTTGTGCAGAAAATATGTCCCAGAGGGTAGATTCTCACCTGTGGTCTTAGAGGTTGTGGGTTCAATTCTCAGTAGCTGCAGGTTCCCTTCTCATTATGCTCCACATTACATGTCCACACTCTACCACACTCCACCACAGTGAAGTGTGGTCACAGTTGGCATTGCCACCTGTCCACTCATCCCACACTCACCTTGCTGGCCTCTATGATGTGCCATATGCTGTCATGTGGGCTGTTGTTCCAGCCTGGCCCACATGTGCAACATGTGGCCTCACTTGCTAGCTTGGCAAGGTTGGCTAGCCTAGCCCTCAGCATTGAGGTGCTGCAGCTAGCCTCAAGAGTTCAGCCACATATATGTGGCTTCCCACTTCACTAGGAATCATCCTTGACAAGGACCCTGCTCTAGTCTTTAAGACTTGTACCATTTTCTTGCTAAGGAGATTTCTTCTTCCTATCGTGCCCTAAGTTCACCGATCCACTTTCTTCATGCTATCAGAGCTAGGCTTCTAGCTTTGTGAACGTCGCACACTTGATGGCTCAAGTTGAGACGCCTCTCGGTCGGCACACCCTTCCTATCTTGGAACCGGATGGTTCCAACTTCATTCCATGGAAGAAAAAGATATGCTACATCTTTAATGTCCTTGGGCTGATCTCCTTTCTTGGAGATCCCAAGGTTGCTTCCCGCCCTTCCATTTCCTCCTCCACAACCAGCAGTGGAGATGCTACTGAAGGCAACAATGGTGCAGCCCCTAAAACAGCCCACTCGATTGCGTCGCTGCCGGATGAAGAAAAAGAGGAGCATGCGTACTATCTTCTCATGTCAGCCGTCCATCCTCAGCTCTCGCTCACACTTGCTCAAGCCAACACGACGAAGGACATGTGGGGATGCATCATGGCGCGGTTTGACTGCATGGGTAACCATGCACAAGTGGCTCTCCTCCGAGATCTCATCACTACACGGATGGACCCAACAATGAGTCTTCGCTCCTACTTCGATCGAGTTGGAAATCTTACGCACCAACTCAAATCTGCCGGCTTCGAGCTACCATCTTGGGTGGTGGTAATCTCCATCATTCTCAATCTGCTGGACTCCTTCAAGACTCTCACAGAAACTATTTGCACCGTGAAAGACATCAAGTCTATGACGGTTGAATACTTGCAGTCACGTCTACTCGATGCCGATTGGGAGCGGTCACAAACTGGTACAAGCCGCAACATGGAAGGTGCATACAACCTCCATTCCCAGCCCTCCCACCCTATTCGCTCCGGTTCCCGCCAGTCCCCTACTTGCCGCTACTGCAAGAAAACCGGACACACTATTGACGAATGCTTCAAGTTGAAGAAGAAGAAAGAGATCGAAGAAAGCTCTCGATGGGAGAAATGTGTCATCCAGCCTTCGGTGCATGTGTCAACAAGCTCCTCCGCCGACATCCCTTTCGACCTCCACAACACCTACTGCCCCATCAGCCTCTCAGTCCGTACCTGATTCCCGGTACGTTGACATTGCTTTCAGCACCAGCCACGGCTCCATCCTCCCCACCTGGACTCCTCTCGTCGCTACTCTCTTCATCTTCACCATCCTCCTCCTCCTCCTCCTCCTCCTCCTCCTCCTCTTCCCTTATGGTGCTCCCTACGCATCGGCATTCACGGCCTCCTCATCAAACCTGGTCCGGACGTCTTCCTGGCTGGTGGACAGCGGCGCATCTTCCCATATCTGCTCCGATCGCTCGCTGTTTTCATCTCTCCAGCAGCCAACTGATGATATTATCGTTCGCTTTGGTGGCGGAGAGACTCACAAGGTCTTGGGAGTCGGCACGGTGGTGGCTACTCTTCGTTCCCAAACCTCGGAAACCACCATGCAGCTAGACAACGTTCTGTTTCTCCCTTCATCGGTTCACAATCTGCTCTCAGTTTGTGCACTTGGAGCTGCCGGCATTGCCGTTTCCTTCCCCATTGCTGGGCGGGTTGAGCTCAAGACTGATGAGGCTCTTATTGGCGAGGGCTTTACCCGCAACAATCTGTTTTATCTTCAGCTGCATCATGGGAGTAGTGCCGCCCCCCCCATCAACCCATCGGCATGTCCAGTCTCCACCACCTCCTCCTCATACCTTTGGCATCGCCGTTTCGGGCATCTTAACATGCGGGACTTGTCAACACTTCATCGGCAGCAGCTGGTCACCGGTCTTAACCTCTCCTCCTCCTCAATTCCTCAATGCATATCGTGCTATCGTGGGAAACAAACGCGTCAACCATTTGGCGTGTCCCATTCTCGCACCACAGCACCGCTCCAACTCATTCATTCGGATATTGCTGGACCGTTTTCATATGGAACTACCATTGGAGGCGCTCGCTACCTTCTCACCTTCATCGACGACTATTCCCGCCACATTACCGTGTATCTCCTACGCCATCGTTCAGAGGCATTGTCGTGCTTCAAAGATTACGTCACTCGGGTGCACAATATGCATTCCCCAAGGACCATCAAAGCGTTTCGCTCCGATGGTGCCTTGGAGTTCAATTCCGAGGCCTTCACTTCATTCCTTAAAGCTCATGGCATCGCTCAACACCGCTCTACGCCATACACACCCGAACAAAATGGAGTTGCTGAACGCGCCAATTGGACTATACTTGAGATGGTCCGTTCCATGCTTCATGACGCACACATGGACAAAGGATGGTGGGGTGAAGCCGCTCTCACTGCTGCCTATCTCCGAAATCATGCTATTAGTCGGGGTGGTTCAGCTTCCAAGACTCCCATAGAACTATGGACCGGTGCACGTCCGGACGTATCACACCTCCGCATCTTCGGTTCACCCGTTTCAGTCCTCGTTCCTCCGCAACACCGCTCCAAACTCGACGACCGAAGCACGGCCGGCGTCATGGTTGGGTATGGTCATCTTGACGGCACCAAAGCTTATCGCATCTATATCCCAACTCAGCACCGTGTCACACTTTCTCGTGATGTCATCTTCATGGAGCCCTCTTCGCCACCTTCGGATGACCCTCGAGAACCTCCATCGTCATCTCCACCACCCATATCATCCTCTCCGCCTCCTCCTCCACCCCCTTCCCTCTCAGACCCAACCTCCCCTCCCTCTCGTTCACCTCCCATGACCTCTTCCACCACCCTCCTCCCACCATCTCCAAATCTGCTAGCACCAGCAACCTCTTCTCCTCCTTTGTTTTCAAACCTTCCCCTGCCCTCGACGCCGCAAGACTTCCGCCTTCCATCCCTCTCCTCTCCTTCTTCAGCTCGTCCTCCCCCTTGCACCTCTAGTTCCTCACCACCATCCCCTTCAGCTCCTTCCAATCCTTCACTTTTCTCACTGCTCAAGGTCCTACCCTCTCCTTCTGAACCCATTGACTTCACCCTTCCTCCTCTTTCCAAGACCTCCGCTAATGCCGCCCTTCATCATCATTACGAACCTCAAAACATTCATGAGGCCCGCACCGGCCCTGATGCTGCTGAATGGATCAAGGCTGCTGATGCGGAACTTGCTGCCCTGCACGCTAATGACACTTACAGGGTTGTTCCTCGACCACCCAAGTGCAAGCCGATTCCATGCAAATGGATTTTTAAGGTCAAGGAGCATGCTGATGGTTCTATTGAACGCCGCAAGGCCCGCCTTGTTGTCAAAGGTTTCAAACAACGCGACGGTGTTGATTTCCATGACACCTTTGCTCCTACTGTTCGCTTCGCCACCCTCCGCCTCTTCCTCACCATTGCTGCCGCTTTGGATCTGGAAGTCCATCAGCTGGACATTTCCAACACCTTCCTCAACGGCACTCTTGATGAAATTCTCTACACGGTGCAGCGTCCCGGTTATGAGCTTCCGGCGGTCCATGGTGTTGAGCAAGTTTGTCTCTTGCACAAACCGTTGTACGGGTTGAAGCAAGCGCCGCGGTGCTGGTACCGCAAACTTCGTGAAGAGCTTGCTGCATTTCACCTTTTTGCTGCCCGTGCGGACCCCGGCCTCTTCATTGCTACTCCACAATCTCCTTATCGGCCTACAGCTGCATCTTTCTTCATGCTTCTCGTCTATGTTGACGACCTCATCATTCTTTCCTCCTCCTCTTCTCTTCTCTCCTCATTCAAGCGTGCCCTTTCATCTCGCTTCAAGCTTCGTGACCTCGGTCCTCTTTCGTACTACCTTGGCTTTCACATCACTCGTGATCGGACCTCCCGCACTCTCCACCTTCATCAATCCAAATTCATCACCTCCATCTTAGACACCTACTCATTCACACCACTTAACCCTGCTGCCACCCCCATGGACACCAAGTTTCAGCCGCCCGTGACTTCCTCACCACACTCCTCCTCCTTTCCTTACACCTCGTTTGTCGGATCCATCATGTATGCCATGGTGGGTTCCCGTCCCGACCTCGCATATAGCGCTGGAGTTCTTGCTCGTCACCTTCATGATTGGTCTACTCCTCACGTCTCGGCTGCCAAACGCGTTGCTTGCTACTTGAAAGGGACTACCTCACTTGGGCTTCTTCTTGGCGGCATTCCCAACACCCTTGAACTTCATGGGTGGTGTGACGCCTCTTGGGGACCGGAGGGCGAGCTCCGACGCTCCGTTACGTGCTACTTGTTCTTCCTCGGTCCGTCACTCATCTCTTGGCAGTCCAAACGTCAAGCTGTCGTCGCTACCTCTTCATGTGAAGCTGAATACTATTCTCTAGGCGCCGCGGTGCATGAGGCCTTATGGCTTCGATCCCTCATTACTACACTTGGACTTCCCCCACCCGGCCCCACCCGCATCTCGTGTGACAACAGCAGCGCCATCATTCTGGCCAAGGACGACGGCGTCTTTCATCCCAAGGCCAAACACATCGACATCAAGCACCATTTCATTCGTGATCATGTCGCCGACCACTTCGTCACCCTTCACTATGTTCCTACTCAAGACAACCTCGCTGACATTGGCACCAAACCTTTGCCCCGTGACCCTTTTCTTCGCATCCGTGGTCTTCTCGGTCTCACCCTTGTCTCCGCTTGAAGAACCCTACCCCGGGGACATCCTTGAGGGGGGGTGTTGTGCAGAAAATATGTCCCAGAGGGTAGATTCTCACCTGTGGTCTTAGAGGTTGTGGGTTCAATTCTCAGTAGCTGCAGGTTCCCTTCTCATTATGCTCCACATTACATGTCCACACTCTACCACACTCCACCACAGTGAAGTGTGGTCACAGTTGGCATTGCCACCTGTCCACTCATCCCACACTCACCTTGCTGGCCTCTATGATGTGCCATATGCTGTCATGTGGGCTGTTGTTCCAGCCTGGCCCACATGTGCAACATGTGGCCTCACTTGCTAGCTTGGCAAGGTTGGCTAGCCTAGCCCTCAGCATTGAGGTGCTGCAGCTAGCCTCAAGAGTTCAGCCACATATATGTGGCTTCCCACTTCACTAGGAATCATCCTTGACAAGGACCCTGCTCTAGTCTTTAAGACTTGTACCATTTTCTTGCTAAGGAGATTTCTTCTTCCTATCGTGCCCTAAGTTCACCGATCCACTTTCTTCACAGATAAGCTTGTGGTGAGCCCGGCTGTGCGCGGGGCGTGGGGCGCCGTCACGCTGCTGCCGCTCGTCACGCTCTTCACCCTCCCATCCCCGAAAGACCCCTGCGGTTTCCAGCTCGCCTTTAACTTCTCCTTCGCCTTCTCCATGTCTTCCCAAACCAGGAAACTCGACGCTGCCTCCTCGTCCTCTTCCTCCTCCTCGTCCTCGTCCTCCTCCTCCTCCTCCTCCACCTCCTCCTCCTCCTCCTCCTCCTCCTCCTCCTCCTCCTCCTCCTCCTCCTCCTCCTGCTCCTGCTCCTCCTCCTCCTCCTCCTCCTCCTCCTCCTCCTCCTCCTCCTCCTCCTCCTCCTCCTCCTCCTCCTCCTCCTCCTCCTCCTCCTCCTCCTCCTCCTCCTCCTCCTCCTCCACCACCACCATTTCGTTCCCCTTCCTCTCCTCCACAGCTGCAAGAGTAGCAGCAGCCGCCGGAACAGCAGGGGACGGGCTAGCCTTTGTGATAAGTGCAACGGAGCCGACAGGGGGGCCAGGCATGGGGTACAAGGGCATGGGCAAGAGGAGCGTGGCAGTGGAGTTGGACACGCGGAAGGACGCCTGGAATGGTGACCCGGATAGCAACCACGTGGGGGTCAACTTGGGGGGCAACAGCCGGTCGATTGCAACAGCTTCACCGAACAACTTGGTCCTGAACAGTGGAGAGCTGCGGCATGTATGGATCATGTATGAACCTGATGCTTTTGCTGGCGGCAGCAGCAGCAGCAGAAGCTTCAGCAACAGCACCAGCAGCAGCAGAGGCGGCAGGAAGAGCGGAGCAGGGCGCGGGAGAGCAGGGAGGCTGCGAGTGTTTGTGGCAGCAGGAGATGCGCAGCCAGGTCAAGCATTACTGGATGTGCCTCTCTCCCTCTGCTCTGTGCTCAAGCCGTCGCCGTCGCGGCCCTCGGTGTTCCTCTCCTTCTCCGCCTCCTCTTCCTCCTCGCATGTGCCGCAGGACCACCGTGTGCATCAATTTGCCAGCTACCTCTTCCACTCTCCCTTTTGTTTTTTCCCCCTTTTTTTTTTACTTCTCGCAACTGAAACCAGCTCACCCTCCTCTCCACCCCTCCACCAGGCCCATCGGATCCCTGCTTTGGCATCTCTCGCCTGTCCCCTACCCGTGTCTACTGTCGCTCCGATGTCTCCTCCTGCCCTGGGGAGGCCATGGGGTCTGCCGGTGTTGGAGGTGCCACTGGTGGTGGTGTGGGTGGTGGTGCTATTGACGTATTCACCAACGAGTTTGTACCAAGAGAAGGAGATGGTGGGGGAGGGGAAGGAGGAGGGGGGCAACAGCAAGAAGGGAAGACTGGAGGCTGCGTAGTTGGTGAGATGCTGTGGGAGCATGAAGCGAGAGAGGCGAGAGGTGAGAGGCGACCAGGGACAAGCACCCGGTTTTGGTTCTTGTGACGTCCAAAGAAGCCCTGACTTGTGAGGCACCTGGATTTCAGGTCTTGCGGCATCGTACTAGCTGGGCTCCGAACGCGATTCAGCAAGGCTCTCCCACTCAGAGCCGCTTTTGAGAATTCTCAAAAGCAAGGCTCTCCCACTAAGAGCTATGCAATGACACGCAACTCAAAGAGATTATCTTGTCTGTGCGTGCGTGCGTGTGTGCGTGCGTGCTTGCGTGCGTGCATGCGTGCGGGGGGAGGGCGAGCGGGAGGGCGGACGGGCGGGCGCGTGTGTGAGTGTGTGTGCATGCTGCGGGCGTGGACAGATGTGTGTAGTGCAGGCGACAGGAACCCATGTGTCGTGGGCAACTGCGTGAACGACGGGTACGGCTCATACACCTGTGTGTGCCCACCCTTCTTCTATCTCGGCACCTCCGATATCAGCGCCCCCTCCTGCGCCCCTGGTAAGCCCTTCTTGCTCCTGCTGCGTCCTGCTCTGCTCCCTTTTGTCCCTGCGTCCTTCTCTGTTTCGACCTGCGTCCTTCTCTGTTTCGACCTGCTCATGCTTCAAGAATTGAGGCGTCTCAACAGCAGCCTGTTCTCAAGAATCTCGCGACTCCGAATTTCCAGCCTCTCCCACATTCTATCTTTCCTTTTACCTCCTTCATCCCTTTTTGCCTGTCCTCTTTCCCCTCCAACAACCCACCCACCCACGCGTCGGCAAGAGCTTTTTCCTTGTGACAGTGGCCACGATGTGGTGTTACCACATCCACCCCATCTATGGCCTCACACTCGCCCAGTTCCTGTACCAAAACGGGGTGAGTGAGTGAGGGCAGAGTGGAATATGCGTGAATAGGATTTGCACGAGTGGAATATGCGTGAATGGGATTTGCATGAGTGGAATATGCGTGAATGGGATTTGCATGAGTGGAATATGCGTGAATGGGATTTGCATGAGAGGAATATGCGTGAATGGGATTTGCATGAGTGGAATATGCGTGAATGGGATTTGCATGAGTGGAATATGCGTGAATGGGATTCGCATGAGTGAAATATGTGTGAATGGGATATGCGTGAGTGGAATATGCGTGAATGGGATTTGCATGAGTAGAATATGCGTGAATGGGATTTGCATGAGTGGAATATGTGTGAATGGGATATGCGTGAGTGGAATATGCGTGAATGGGATTTGCATGAGTGGAATACGCATCAATGAGATTTGCGTGAGTGGAATGTGTGGGACTGGGATTTGCATGAGTGGGATGTGCGTGAATGGGATTTGCATGAGTGGGATGTGCGTGAATGGGATTTGCGTGAGTGGAATGTGCGTGAATGGGATTTGCGTGAGTGTGACGTGTAGGAATGGGCACGCACTGGCATCAAAGATGGGGTAGCGGGATTACGGAGAGAGGTAGGGAGGGAGATAGAGGAAGAGGGGGAGATTGAAAGGGCGATAGAGGGAGTGCAGGAGAAAGCGGGGGCTGGGGTGCTTCGGACATACACTTGCACTCCCTCCCCCCTTCTGCTGCACACCCATGCTCATCTGCCCTCATTGCCACATCTGCCATCATCTGCCCTCTATCTATACCCCACCCTTCCTTCCAATCACCACCCACCCCTGCAGGGGCTGTTGTGCGATGTGCCCGTGCCAGTGGCCACGGTGGTGATTTGAATCAACTGCCCTCATCTGCCCTCGTCTGCCCTCTATCTATACCCCACCCTTCCTTCCACCCACCAACCCACCCCTCCAGGGACTGTCATGCAACGTGCCCTTGCCAGTGGGCACATTGGTCAGTGTGAAGCCCAACACTGACCTCACGCCCTGCTCCGCCTTCTACACCACGGTCCAGGTCAGGTCACTATGTTGGAGTCACTTTTCAGAGTTCTTGAATACGCTCTTCTTGCCTTGTTCGCATCCTGCGCCACTTCTCCCCGCTCGCCCCCTCCTCCCTCTGTTTCTTCTGCTACCTCCCCACCTCTCCTCCTATTCCCCCTTCTCCTCCCCTCGTCTCCTCCTCCCCTCCTCCCCTCCTCCGCTCCTCCCCTTCTCCCCTCGTCCCTTCGTGCCATGCGCTGTTGTGCCGTGCACACACCCGCATTATCTTTCATTTCATCACCCTTCCTCTCCATCTCCCCCTCCCTCTTCCTCATTCAATTCTTTTCCCCCCCCCGCCTGGCCCCCACTTTCTCTCTACCTCCTTCCCTTTCCTCTTCATCTCCCTCTCCCCCCCCGTCTCCCTTTCCCCTTTTCCTCTGTTTCCTCCCTTTCCTCCCGTTCCTCCCTTTCCTCCCGTTCCTCCCTTTCCTCCATTCCTTCCCTTTCCTTCCCCTCCTCCCCCTCCTCCCCGTCCTCTTCCCTCTCCCCACCCTGCTTTCTTTCTGTCTTTCCCTGCTCCCACCTCTCATTTTTCCGTGCTTTCGTGCCTTGCCTCCCTGCCCCTCCCTTCCCCCCCTTTCCTCACCCACCTCCCTACACAACCCCACCAGAGCGACACGTGTGAGTCCATTGCCTCCCTCTTCTCTCTCACCGCCTCCTGCCCAGAACCCTCCCAGCCCTGCACCACCGACCTCCTGAGCCTCAACCCGGGCCTCGACTGCACTGTTAAGCCCTACAGGCCTCTCCATCTGCCTGGAGCGTACCACACCTCTCATGCCCATGTGCGAGGAGACTGTGAGGGTTCAGGGCACGAGGAACGCGACGTGTGCATCGTTGCTGGCGGGGAGGCAGCCGCCGCTGAGTGCGCTGGAGCTCTACCGCATGAATCCCGGCATCTACTGCCACCGCCTGCTTCCGCCCTCCATTGAATCTGGCTTTCTGGGCTCCGAGGTACGGCGCGGTGGGGTGTGTGTGCAGTGTGGTGGGGTGGGGTGTGTGAGGTACGGTGGGGTGTGATGGCCTTGCATATGGCAGGATGTGGCGTGTGGGATGCATTGCAGCTCAGTTCCTGGAGGAGAGGTAAGGTTGTGGCAGTGGAGGAACTGATACACATTGTAGTGTGGCCAGCTGATCAGGTGAAACTCAGTGGTTCATTCCTGTGTTACCCTATTGTTATTCAATTGCGCGCATCCTTTGGGTTTCTCTTCAGTCTCGGGTCAACTGCATTTCCGTTTCACCTGTGGCCTCTTGGTTCCTGTTGTGTTGCAGGTGTGTGTTAATATGCGAATGGACATGTCATTCGGCTCGTGTCCCTTGTCTGAGGTCTACATTGTAACAGATAATGGCAGGTGCAGTGCCATTAAGTTCAGGTTCTTCAAGGGCATTAAGAACTGCTATAAAAGATTCAATGGTTACGATTGCCTAGATAGACTGGCCCGGGGCATGAGAATTTGCTTGCCAGATCCAGTCAAAATCAGACAAGGAAAGTGTTCTGTATAGGATGCAAAAATGACATGTTTTGATTTAGAAGCTGAGTGAATAAGATCTTTCAATCAGCCATGTATCCCTTCTATTCAAGGGGTGTTGCAAGAACTACCATAAATACCCAGATATAGCCAACGCTGCATATGACAACCCCCCTATACTGGTAGCTTATGTGGGGTGTGGTAGCTGTTGGAATTCCGAGTACAGTATAACAAATACTGCATACCGGTGTGCTGTTCAGTTTTAGTATAGTCCCCTTTATAAGCATCCAAGGCTTAGAGCGTATTCCTACGGCCTCATATCAGGCCACCTCGTATCAAGATAGTACTTTTTGCCTGGTGAGTAGCAAGAGGTTTTGGGTTTAGGGGATTTTTCAGTGAGAGCTTGATATGAGGTTATCTTGATACGAGGTTAGGAATACGCTCTTACAATAATTGTCACAATTATTCATGTAGCATCATTGGATGGTAAAATTACTGGTGTGTAGAAATATTGGTGCACCATTATTGCTGTGGATGGGCCATGTTGGAAGGGTAGCTAGGTGCATACTCTGCTGTGTCATCATTATTTTCGTCATTCAATGGTTAACGTGTTGTAAATGTCGTAAACCCCCGGATATAAGACCCCCTCCAGTTGTAGACCCCTGGGTATATAATACGGGGGGTACTCTGTTCGAGTCTAGTCGAGATAAACCCCCTATTTGGCACCTGACAATATAAGACCCCCCCTACCACTAGAGACCTATTCATTTGTGATTGATGGACTAGTACTGTCAGATTATAATGCATGTCTAGTCTGTAGTGGGGTACTCAAAAGTGAGTATAGCCCTTTTAGGGCTTACTACTTGTATCCCCCTCCTTTCTAGTTTCACCATTCTCCTTCCACAATTCTCTCGACATTTTCCTTACACCCTACACCCTCGAACTTCACCAAGTCACCTAAACTACTATGGCTCCTAAGCCAAATTCTCGCTAGTTTATCAACATGCTATCAGAGCTTAAAGCTCCTGGCCTGTGGGCCCACTTGCTTCCGCTGCCCTACTGTGTGTCGCGCGCCCCGTGGCGCGCGACATTCTATTTTTCTTCCCGCCACGCGCTCGGAACGCGTGGCGGTTTTCTGCCCACCGTGCGCCCCAAGGCGCGCGGCGGGCTCCTACCTCGTCGCGGCGTCTTGGGGGCCCGCGCACTGGACCCGACCGACGCCTCGTCGCGGCGTTTTGGGGGCCCGCACGCAGGCCCCTCCCGTCGCCTCGTCGCGGCACTTTCGGGGCCCGCGAGCCGGCCCCTCCCGTTGCCTCGTCACAGCGCCTTAGGGGCCTGCGCGCGGTCCCCTCCCGTCGCCCGTCGAGGCACTTTCGGGGGCCTGCGCGGCTCCCTAGCACGTCGCCCGTCAGGGCACCCTGGGGGCCGCGCCCTTCCCCTCCCCTCCCTTCTAATTTCCGCTGCAGCAGCAGCCCCTGGAGCACCCGCCCCAGCAGCAGCAGCACCTGGAGTAGCCGCCCCAGCAGCAGCAGCCCCTGGAGCAGCCGCCCCAGCAGCAGCAGCCCCTGGAGCAGCCGCCCCAGCAGCAGCAGCCCCTGGAGCAGCCGCCCCAGCAGCAGCAGCCCCTGGAGCAGCCGCCCCAGCAGCAGCAGCCCCTGGAGCAGCCGCCCCAGCAGCAGCAACACCTGGAGCAGCCGCCCCAGCAGCAGCAGCCCCTGGAGCAGCCGCCCCAGCAGCAGCAGCCCCTGGAGCAGCCGCCCCAGCAGCAGCAGCCCCTGGAGCAGCCGCCCCAGCAGCAGCAGCCCCTGGAGCAGCCGCCCCAGCAGCAGCCGCCCCAGCAGGAGCAGCCCCAGCAGCAGCAGCCCCTGGAGCAGCCGCCCCAGCAGAAGCAGCCCCTGGAGCAGCCGCCCCAGCAGCAGCCCCTGGAGCAGTCGCCCCAGCAGCAGCAGCCCCTGGAGCAGCCGCCCCAGCAGCAGCAGTCCCTGGAGCAGCCACCCCAGCAGCAGCCGCCCCTGGCCCCTGCAGCAGCCGCTCCTGGACCCGGTGCAGCCGTGGGGGGGTGGGTGTGGGGGTGATGGTTGTGGGGGTGTCGGTTGTGCGTGCCGTCCCCTCCTCCTCCTCCTCCTTCGTCTCCCACTGTTGTAGCTATCGCTTAGGGGGGGTGGATGTGTGGGAGTCTGGGGTTTAGGGTTTAAGGGGGTGCTGTGGGTGTAGGGCTAGGGTTTGAGCAGGGGGTGTGTGAGAGGGGCGTTGGGCAGCTGGGGGAGGTTAAGTGGAGGCAGCAGTCTTGTCGTCAGCAGCACCAGCAGTCCGGAGGCTACAATCTCCGGTAGTCGCCAGTCGCCTGTGGGTCAGTTGCTCGTATGCCGCTACTTTTAGCCGCGGAGCCAGTTACTCCTGTAGTCCGGGCCTTTGCTTCGGTAGCCACTGAGCCAGCAGCTCGTCTGTGTGTTTGCAGCGTCAGCAGTCGCCTCCCATCTTCTCTCCCCCACAGTCTCTCCTCCTCCTCACTTGCTCTCTGTGATTAGCTCTAGCCTTATTTACCTATTGTGAACTCTAGCTCTATGCCTGCATGCTGTACTGATTATACCCCACTTTGACTATGGGGGTGTGTCAGATTATAATGCATGTCTAGTCTGTAGTGGGGTACTCAAAAGTGAGTATAACCCTTTTAGGGCTTACTACTTGTATCCCCCTCCTTTCTAGTTTCACCATTCTCCTTCCACAATTCTCTCGACATTTTCCTTACACCCTACACCCTCGAACTTCACCAAGTCACCTAAACTACTATGGCTCCTAAGCCAAATTCTCGCTAGTTTATCAACATGCTATCAGAGCTTAAAGCTCCTGGCCTGTGGGCCCACTTGCTTCCGCTGCCCTACTGTGTGTCGCGCGCCCCGTGGCGCGCGACATTCTATTTTTCTTCCCGCCACGCGCTCGGAACGCGTGGCGGTTTTCTGCCCACCGTGCGCCCCAAGGCGCGCGGCGGGCTCCTACCTCGTCGCGGCGTCTTGGGGGCCCGCGCACTGGACCCGACCGTCGCCTCGTCGCGGCGTTTTGGGGGCCCGCACGCAGGCCCCTCCCGTCGCCTCGTCGCGGCACTTTCGGGGCCCGCGAGCCGGCCCCTCCCGTTGCCTCGTCACAGCGCCTTAGGGGCCTGCGCGCGGTCCCCTCCCGTCGCCCGTCGAGGCACTTTCGGGGGCCTGCGCGGCTCCCTAGCACGTCGCCCGTCAGGGCACCCTGGGGGCCGCGCCCTTCCCCTCCCCTCCCTTCTAATTTCCGCTGCAGCAGCAGCCCCTGGAGCACCCGCCCCAGCAGCAGCAGCACCTGGAGTAGCCGCCCCAGCAGCAGCAGCCCCTGGAGCAGCCGCCCCAGCAGCAGCAGCCCCTGGAGCAGCCGCCCCAGCAGCAGCAGCCCCTGGAGCAGCCGCCCCAGCAGCAGCAGCCCCTGGAGCAGCCGCCCCAGCAGCAGCAACACCTGGAGCAGCCGCCCCAGCAGCAGCAGCCCCTGGAGCAGCCGCCCCAGCAGCAGCAGCCCCTGGAGCAGCCGCCCCAGCAGCAGCAGCCCCTGGAGCAGCCGCCCCAGCAGCAGCAGCCCCTAGAGCAGCCGCCCCAGCAGCAGCCGCCCCAGCAGGAGCAGCCCCAGCAGCAGCAGCCCCTGGAGCAGCCGCCCCAGCAGAAGCAGCCCCTGGAGCAGCCGCCCCAGCAGCAGCCCCTGGAGCAGTCGCCCCAGCAGCAGCAGCCCCTGGAGCAGCCGCCCCAGCAGCAGCAGTCCCTGGAGCAGCCACCCCAGCAGCAGCCGCCCCTGGCCCCTGCAGCAGCCGCTCCTGGACCCGGTGCAGCCGTGGGGGGGTGGGTGTGGGGGTGATGGTTGTGGGGGTGTCGGTTGTGCGTGCCGTCCCCTCCTCCTCCTCCTCCTTCGTCTCCCACTGTTGTAGCTATCGCTTAGGGGGGGTGGATGTGTGGGAGTCTGGGGTTTAGGGTTTAAGGGGGTGCTGTGGGTGTAGGGCTAGGGTTTGAGCAGGGGGTGTGTGAGAGGGGCGTTGGGCAGCTGGGGGAGGTTAAGTGGAGGCAGCAGTCTTGTCGTCAGCAGCACCAGCAGTCCGGAGGCTACAATCTCCGGTAGTCGCCAGTCGCCTGTGGGTCAGTTGCTCGTATGCCGCTACTTTTAGCCGCGGAGCCAGTTACTCCTGTAGTCCGGGCCTTTGCTTCGGTAGCCACTGAGCCAGCAGCTCGTCTGTGTGTTTGCAGCGTCAGCAGTCGCCTCCCATCTTCTCTCCCCCACAGTCTCTCCTCCTCCTCACTTGCTCTCTGTGATTAGCTCTAGCCTTATTTACCTATTGTGAACTCTAGCTCTATGCCTGCATGCTGTACTGATTATACCCCACTTTGACTATGGGGGTGTGTCAGATTATAATGCATGTCTAGTCTGTAGTGGGGTACTCAAAAGTGAGTATAACCCTT